CATCTCCATTTCTAAGCCGAAGAGCCAGCGTTGTCCGTAGACACCTCCAAGGTCATGTGGCCGGCATGACTGCATGATTTTACTTTAGGTAAAGGTAAAGGTAGTCCCCTGACATTAAGTCCAGTCATGTCTGACTCTGGGGTGTGGTGCTCATCTCCATTTCTAAGCCAAAGAGCCAGCGTTGTCCATAGACAACTCCAAGGTCATGTGGCTGGCATGACTGCATGGAGCTGTGCTATAAAGGTAAAGGTAAAGGTTGTCCCCTGACATTAAGTCCAATCATGTCTGACTCTGGGGTGTGGTGCTCATCTCCATTTCTAAGCCGAAGAGCCAGCGTTGTCCGTAGACACCTCCAAGGTCATGTGGCCGGCATGACTGCATGGATATCTATTCCATTAAGGTAAAGGTAAGGTAGTCCCCTGACATTAAGTCCAGTCATGTCTGACTCTGGGGTGTGGTGCTCATCTCCATTTCTAAGCCGAAGAGCCAGCGTTGTCCGTAGACACCTCCAAGGTCATGTTGGCAAAAGCTGGAGCTAACAGCAGGAGCTCACCCCGAACTGCTAACCTTCAGGTGAGCAAGTTTTTCCTGCAGCCAGCGGTTTAACCTGCCGTGCTACGGCACAAGATGGGTGACGTCTCCAGAGAGAAAGCAGGTTGCACAGATTGGGTCAGCGTGCCCTAGTGAAGAACAGCCACTCTGTGAAAGCTGCACGGCCCCTTTGCACACACAGACAGGCACGTCTTTGAAATTTGCAGAGGGTAATAATGCCTATTGATCCCGATCAAAAGCCTTTCTCCTCTTTGATTCCGGCCTTTGTCACAGCCGCCGGCTCGCAGTTGTAGCCGGGCAACTGTGTGCGTGGCATTTGCAGCCCGCGGCCCATTAGTGGGCTCTCAGAGGCCTCTCTGCCCGGCCGGAGAGCTCATTAAGCGCTCCTCTTTTGCCGGCATCCCCAGGGAGCTCACAATGCCTGGCAGAGGAAGCGGAGGAGGAGGAAAATATCCTCTTAAGCCAGTGGTTCTCAACCTTCCAAATGCCATGACCCCTTAATACAGTTCCTCATGTTGTGGTGACCTCCAACCAGAACATTATTTTGGGTTGTTGTAGGTTTTCCGGGCTAGTTGAAGAAGACCCTGATCAAAAGACACTATTTGCATGGACAATAGCAAAGGACCGTGACCTCTGGCCTCGGAGTTGGCCCCCCAGAGGAAGCGGTCGCTTGGCAATTATGATCATATCTCAATAGGATGGAGGGGGCCTTCGGAAAGCCGCACCTCGTCCTAATCTGTCACCCATTCGACTTTTCTTTCACTAAAGACTTCAGGCCCCATTGTTCCCATATCTCTGCACTGGAAAAATCCGGATCTTGGCAGGATCGCCAAACATCAGTGTTTATTGCCGCCACTCGGATGACAATAGGAATGGCTGGCTCGTAGGCCCCAGGACTCGCTGGCCGCATGGACTTTTCCTACCTCCATAATCCTCTCAAGAATCCATTGTTTTCTATAACATGATTTCTATATTTCTCTATTCCTCTGTGTATCTGACCTTTTCCTGACCCTTTTGCCCAATTTCCCCTTTATTGAAAAATGTATAAAAATACAAGGCAGCCACCCCTGCATGACCCTGGAAAGAAGGAAATCTCCAGTTGAAAAAGACTCTTATCAAAAGACACTATTTGCATGGACAATAACAAAGGATCGTGACCTCTGGCCTCGGAGTTGGCCCCCCAGAGGAAGCGGTCACTTGGCATTTATGATCATATCTCAATAGGACAAAGGAAGCCTTCGGAAAGCCACACTTTGTCCTAATCTGTTACTGATTCAACTTTTATCCACTGAAACCACAGCCAAAATTCCCTCATTATTCCTGTCTCTCAGCACTGGAAAAATCCGGATTACGGCAGGTTTGCCAGACAATAAATGTTTATTGCAGTTGCTCAATGACAATAGGAATGGCTGGCTCGCAGGCCCCAGGACTCGCTGGCCGCATGGACTTTTCCTACCTCCATAATCCTCTCAAGAATCCATTGTTTTCTATAACATGATTTCTATATTTCTCTATTCCTCCCTGTGTATCTGACCTTTTCCTGACCCTTTTGCCCAATTTCCCCTTTATTGAAAAATGTATAAAAATACAAGGCAGCCACCCCTGCGTGACCCTGGAAAGAAGGAAATCTCCAGTTGAAAAAGACCCTTATCAAAAGACACTATTTGCATGGACAATAACAAAGGACCGTGACCTCTGGCCTCGGAGTTGGCCCCCCAGAGGAAGCGGTCACTTGGCAATTATGATCATATCTCAATAGGATGGAGGGAGCCTTCGGAAAGCCGCACCTCGTCCTAATCTGTCACCCATTCAACTTTTCTTTCACTAAAGACTTCAGCCCAAGTTCCCCATTGTTCCCATATCTCCGCACTGGAAAAATCCGGATCTTGGCAGGATCATAAAATCATAGAATCATAGAATCAAAGAGTTGGAAGAGACCTCCTGGGCCATCATCCAGTCCAACCCCATTCTGCCAAGAAGCAGGAATATTGCATTCAAATCACCCCTGACAGATGGCCATCCAGCCTCTGTTTAAAAGCTTCCAAAGAAGGATCCTCCACCACACTCCGGGGCAGAGAGTTCCACTGCTGAACAGCTCTCACAGTCAGGAAGTTCTTCCTCATGTTCAGATGGAATCTCCTCTCTTGTAGTTTGATCGCCAAACATCAATGTTTATTGCAGCCACTCAATGACAATAGGAATGGCTGGCTCGCAGGCCCCAGGACCCGCTGGCCGCATGGACATTTCCTACCTCCATAATCCTCTCAAGAATCCATTGTTTCCCTCTCATCCTGCCTCCCTCTCTCCTGATCTGTCAGGACGCCGAGGCGGCAGAAGCCCAGCGATTGGCCCAGGCGCTCAGGAGGTGGTCAAGCCTTTTCCCGGCTGTAGAGGGCCAGCCAATCATCGTTTAGCCGGCAGAGGAGCAGGGAATGGGAGATTCAAACCCGGCAACTCTGTTTCTGTATTAGAAAGGCTTTTATTGGTACACATGTTGCTGGGATGTATAGTTCACCTACAATCAAAGAGCATTCTGAACCTCATCAACAATAGAATGGAACCAAACTTGGCACACTGAACTCCCACGACCATTATTTCCGTTGCTACTTCAGAACTGTCATTGTGCTACTGTTGCTGGGATGTATAGTTCACCTACAATCAAAGAGCATTTGGAACCCCACCGATGATGGAATGGAACCAAATTTGACACACTGAACTCCCACGACCATTATTTTCGTTGCTACTTCAGAACTGTCATTGTGCTACTGTTGCTGGGATGTATAGTTCACCTACAATCAAAGAGCATTTGGAACCCCACCAACGATGGAATGGAACCAAACTTGGCACACTGAATACCCATGACCAACAGAAAATACCAGAAGGGTTTGGTGGGCATTGACCTTGAATTTTGGAGCTGTAGTTCACCTACATCCACATCCGGAGAGCACTATGGAGTTAAACTATGATGGATCTGGACCAAACTTGGCACAAATACTCGATAAGCCCAAATGTGGAGTTTGGGGTAAATAGACCTTGAATTTGGGAGTTGTAGTTGCTGGGATTTATAGTTCACCTACAATCAAAGAGCATTCTGAACTCCATCAACGATGGAATGAACAAACTTGGCACACAGAACTCCCATGACCAACAGAAAATACTGGAAGGGTTTGGTGGGCATTGACCTTGAGTTTGGGAGTTGTAGTTCACCTACATCCAGAGAGCACTGTGGACTCAATAATGATGGATCTGGACCAAACTTGGCACGAGTACTCCATATGCCCAAATGAAGTTTGGGGGAAATAAACCTTGACATTTGGGAGTTGTAGTTCACCTACATCCAGAGAGCACTGTGGATTCAAACAGTGATGGATGTGGACCAAACTTGGCACGAATACAAAATATGCCCAAATGTAAACATTATTGGAGTTTGGGGGAAATAGACCTTGACATTTGGAGTTGTAGTTCACCTCCRTCCAGAGAGCACTGTGGATTCAAACAGTGATGGATGTGGACCAAACTTGGCAYGAATACTCAATATGCCCAAATGTAAACATTATTGGAGTTTGGGGGAAATAGACCTTGACATTTGGGAGTTGTAGTTCACCTCCGTCCAGAGAGCACTATGGACTGAAACTATGATGGATCTAGACCAAATTTGGCATGAATACTCAATATGCCCAAATGTGAACACTAGTGGAGTTGATATTTCGGAGTTGTAGTTGCTTGTACTGGAAGGGTGTGGCAGGCTTTGACCTTGACATTTGGGAGTTGTAGTTCACCTACATCCAGAGAACACTGCGGACTCAAACAATGATGGATCTGGACCAAACTTGGCACGAATACTCAACATGCCCAAATGTAAACACTAGTGGAGTTTGGGGGAAATAGACCTTGACATTTGGAAGTTGTAGTTCACCTACATCCAGAGAGCACTGCGGACTCAAACAATGATGAATCTGGACCAAACTTGGCACGAATAATCAACATGCCCAAATGTGAATACTAGTGGAGTTGATATTTCGGAGTTGTAGTTGCTTGTACTGGAAGGGTGTGGTAGGCTTTGACCTTGACATTTGGGAGTTGTAGTTCACCTACATCCAGAGAGCACTGTGGACTCAAACAATGATGGATGTGGACCAAACTTGGCACGAATACTCAGTATGCCCAAATGTAAATATTAGTCGAGTTTGGGGAAAATAGACCTTGACATTTGGGAGTTGTAGTTGCTGGGATTTAGTGAATGAGAATACCTTCTGCATATCAGATATTTACATGATGATTCGTAACAGTAGCAAAATTATAGTTGTGAAGTAGCAACTAAAATGATGTTATGGTTGGGGGTCAGCACAGTACGAGGAACTGTATCAAGGAAGGTTGAGAACCGCTGACCTAGAACGTGTCTTGTATTTTCAGTGTGCCTTCCACCTTGCCTTGTGCTGGAGATGTTTCCTGTGTCTGCTTTGGCTCCTGAGTGCACCACGATCACACCCGAGCTGCACGCTGGCTCGGTGTAGAAGGTGATTTGGAGGGATGAGGAGAGGATGGGGAATCGGAGGGAGGAGAGGAAGGGTTGCCAAGGATTGGCTGGATGCGGGAGAGAAATGCACCGAAAGCGCCTGAGTGGGTTGCGACGCTGCACAGCGATCAGAGCAGTCCAGAGGAAGAAGAGCGTTGGATCTGGGTTGCAGGCACTGAGACACAACAGCATCCTGCTTTGTATCTCCTGCCGTGGTCCACCAGGATGGATCCTGAAGCCTGAAGAGCAGCTCGTCGTTCCGCCTTGAACTTCGCGAAGGAGGACATCTAACGACAACAAGGAGGGTGCTTCGGGTTCAAGGATTTGGCCAAAGGTGCCAGGTTGGGCACCAAAGGTGAGCTTTCATCCTAGCTTGTGGGTGGGACCATAGTGAGGGAAGGATTGGGTGGCCAAGAAGGGCGACCACCAAAGCTCAGAGATGTATTCCCCCAACTTAGTCCATCTCTTCTTGAAGGCCAGCTCTAGCTTGGGCACATGGAGGACAAGTGATGTCATGGGGAATAGCTTGGTGATGGAAAAGTCTTGGTGAGCATCTTCTTCTCCTTCTTCATCTCCTCCTTTTCTCCACCTCCCCCTTTCCTCTTCCTCTTCTCCTCCTCCTTCCCTTTCTCCTTCTCATCTCCTCCTCCTTCTCTTCTCCACCTCCCCTTTTCCTCTTCCTCTTCTCCTCCTCCTTCCCTTTCTCCTTCTCATCTCCTCCTCCTTCTCTTCTCCACCTCCCCTTTTCCTCTTCCTCTTCTCCTCCTCCTTCCCTTTCTCCTTCTCATCTCCTCCTCCTTCTCTTCTCCACCTCCCCTTTTCCTCTTCCTCTTCTCCTCCTCCTTCCCTTTCTCCTTCTCATCTCCTCCTCCTTCTCTTCTCCACCTCCCCTTTTCCTCTTCCTCTTCTCCTCCTCCTTCCCTTTCTCCTTCTCATCTCCTCCTCCTTCTCTTCTCCACCTCCCCTTTTCCTCTTCCTCTTCTCCTCCTCCTTCCCTTTCTCCTTCTCATCTCCTCCTCCTTCTTTTCTCCACCTCCCCTTTTCCTCTTCCTCTTCTCCTCCTCCTTCCCTTTCTCCTTCTCATCTCCTCCTCCTTCTCTTCTCCACCTCCCCTTTTCCTCTTCCTCTTCTCCTCCTCCTTCCCTTTCTCCTTCTCATCTCCTCCTCCTTCTCTTCTCCACCTCCCCTTTTCCTCTTCCTCTTCTCCTCCTCCTTCCCTTTCTCCTTCTCATCTCCTCCTCCTTCTCTTCTCCACCTCCTCTTTTCCTCTTCCTCTTCTCCTCCTCCTTCCCTTTCTCCTTCTCATCTCCTCCTCCTTCTCTTCTCCACCTCCCCTTTTCCTCTTCCTCTTCTCCTCCTCCTTCCCTTTCTCCTTCTCATCTCCTCCTCCTTCTCTTCTCCACCTCCCCTTTTCCTCTTCCTCTTCTCCTCCTCCTTCCCTTTCTCCTTCTCATCTCCTCCTCCTTCTTTTCTCCACCTCCCCTTTTCCTCTTCCTCTTCTCCTCCTCCTTCCCTTTCTCCTTCTCATCTCCTCCTCCTTCTCTTCTCCACCTCCCCTTTTCCTCTTCCTCTTCTCCTCCTCCTTCCCTTTCTCCTTCTCATCTCCTCCTCCTTCTCTTCTCCACCTCCCCTTTTCCTCTTCCTCTTCTCCTCCTCCTTCCCTTTCTCCTTCTCATCTCCTCCTCCTTCTCTTCTCCACCTCCCCTTTTCCTCTTCCTCTTCTCCTCCTCCTCTTTTCTTCTTCTTCTTCTGCTTCTCCTCTTCTACTTCTTTTTCTTCCTCCACCTTCCTTTTTCTTCTTTCCTCATCTCCCCTCTCTCTCCTCCTCCCTCCTTCTTCCCTCTTTCTCTTCTTCTCCTTTCTCTTCTCTTCTCCTTTTCCTCCTCCTCTTCTCCTCCTCCTTCCCTTTCTCCTTCTCATCTCCTCCTCCTTCTTCTCTCCACCTCCCCTTTTCCTCTTCCTCCTCCTCCTCCTCCTCCTCCTCTTCTCCTTCTTCCTCTCCTCTCTCCTTTCTTCTCTATCTCCTCCTCCTTCTTTTCTCCACCTCCCCTTTTCCTCTTTCTCTTCTCCTCCTCCTTCTTCCTCTTCTCATTCTTTCTCTCCGCCTCCTCCTTCCCTTTCTCCTTCTCATCTTCTCCTCCTTCTTCCCCTTCTCTTCATCTTTCCTCCTTCCTCTTCCTTCTTCCTCTTCTCTTCTTCTCTTTCCTCCTCCGTTTCCTCCTTCTGCTTCTTGCTCTTCTCCTCCTCCTTCCTCCTCCTTCCCTTTCTCCTTCTCTTCTCCTCCTTCATCGCCTTCTCTTCTTCCTTTTCCTCCTCCTTCCTCCTCCTCCTCCTTCTACTCTTCTTCTCCTTTCCTCCTCTTCTTCCTCCTTCTGCTTCTTGCTCTTCTTCTCCTCCTTCCTCCTTCTCCTTCCTCTCCTCCTCCTACTTCCTCTTCTCTTCTCCCCTTCCCCTTCTTCTTCTGCTTCTCCTTCTTTCTCTTTCCTCCTCTTTCCTTTCTTCTTCTCCTATCTCCTCTTCCTCCTTTTTTCCTCCTCCTCCTCCTCCTCCTCTTCTTCCTCCTCTTCCTCCTCTCCTTCCTTCTCTTCTTATTCTTCCTCTTCTCTTCTTTCCTCTCCTTCTTCCTCTTCTTCTACTTCTTCTCTTTCTCCTCCTTCCTCTTCTTCCTCTCTTCCTCTTTTTCTTCCTCCTCTCTTCTCCTCCTCCTCCTCTCCTCTCCTCCTTCTCCTTCTCTTCTTTCTCTTCCTTCTCCTCCTTCCTCCTCCTCCTTCTTCCTTCCTCCTCTTCTCCTCCTCCTCCTCCTCCTCCTCCTCCTCTTCCTCCTTCTCTCTTCTCCTTCCTTCCTCCTCCTCCTCCTTCTTCCTCCTCTTCTTCTCCTCCTCTTTCTTCTTCTACTTCTACTTCTTCTCCTCCATCCTCCTTCTTCTTCCTCTCCACTTCTCCTCCTCCTTCTCCTCCTTCATCCTCTCTTCCTCCTTCTTCCTCTTCTCTCTTCCTCTTCTCCTACCCCTCTCCTCCTCCTCTTCTCTTCCTCCCCTTCCTCCCCTTTCCTCCTCCTCCTCTTCCTTCTTCCATCTAATGGTTTGCTTGATGTCCAACGATGAAGCTCTGAAAGCATCCCAGCGGGATCGGAGCATCTAACCCAGTATCCTGTTTCAGCTGCAGCCCACATCTCCTTCCTTGGGGCGGATTCTGACCCTCGAGCAACCTAGACTGAGAAGAGACGGAAAACGTTCTATTGGCAAAGAAGAGTCGGAGGAAGCCTCCAGTTTGAGTCTCCAGACCATGGCCGATGAGGAGATGGAGGCCTTTGAGGTGGACACATCCCGGATGAGGCCGGGGCTCCCGCCGTACGACATGGAGGACCACCTCCTGCCCATGGAGCGCCGTGGGGCCTGTGCTTGTTGTGCGTGGGCCTTCCTGGTGGCGGCCATGAACTCCTTGGTCTTCCTCCTGAACTTCCTCCTGATGGCCTCCATCTTTGCTGTCGTCCTCCTGCCAACCATCGTGGTGGTCTTCTTCGGATTCCAGTGTCACTCCCGGGTAAGTCAGGGGCAAACCTCAGGCATAGGAAGAGTTGTCTCTTACATTACTTACTTAGGTGATCCCTCGTAGCTCAAGGATGATTGTCTTCTGGATGTGATGTCTTGGTGGTGGGTCCATAGGTGGATGTGGAGCCCTATTCTTGGTCCGCATGTTCTCCCAAGGTGAGGACGTTGGTTTCCAGACCGAAGGCAGTCCTAGTCAGGGTTAGCTTGATGTGTCTTCTTCTTGGCATGTTTCTCCCTTTCACCCTCCATTCTGCAGCACTGGTGGTCACAGCTGGCCTCCAGTTAGAGTGCTCAAAGGCCAGAACTTCCCAGTTCTCAGTGTCTTACAATAGTAAAGGTTTCCCTTGACATTAAGTCTAGTCGTGTCTGACTCTGAGAGTTGGTGCTCATCTCCATTACTAAGCCAAAGAGCCTGCGTTGCCCATAGACACTTCCAAAGTCATGACTGCACGGAACACTGTTACCTTCCCACTACCTATTGATCTACTCACATTTGCATGTTTTCAAACTGCTAAGTTGGCAGAAGCTGGGGCTAAAAGTAGGAGCTCACTCCACTCCATATCTAAGCCAAAGAGCTAGGGTCGTCCGAAGACACCTCCAAGGTCATGTGGCCAGCATGACTGCATAGAGTGCCGTTACCTTCCCACCACAGCGGTACCTCTTCATCTACTCACATTTGCATGTTTTCGAACTGCTAAGTTGGCAGAAGCTGGGGCTAAAAGCAGGAGCTCACTCCACTCCATATCTAAGCCAAAGAGCTGGCGTCGTCCATAGACACCTCCAAAGTCATGTGGGCGGCATGACTGCATGGAGCAC